CTCAGACCCCAAATGGGACCCACGCCCCCCTCAGACCCCAAATGGGATCCATGTTCCCCCTCAGACCCCAAATGGGACCCACATCCCCCCTCAGACCCCAAAAGCAGGACGACCCCAAACCTTGGGGAATGTCTGTTCCTGTTCCTGGGGGGTGTTGGGAAGGATCCCACGAGCCTCCAACGGATCCCAGCACGGAGGAGATCCCGGGAACCCTTTTTTCCCAGAGCAGCAGTTGCTCACCGAGGCAGCTCCAAATAATTCAGGATGAATAAATCCCTGGATTCCGCCACGCGGCCGCTCCGGGTTTCCCACTGGGAAGTCATGGTGGGAAGGAATCAACTCCATCCCTGGTTTTGGGGGGAGAGGTGCCTCCCTGCCGTCGGGTGGGACCCAAAGCCCATCCTGGAAGGGAGGAATTCCATGGGAATTCCATGGGAAAAGCTGATTCCCTCCGCAGACTCGGGCGGCGCCGTCGGAAGCTCTGACGTCGTGATCCTGCTGCACGGATTCCCGACTTCCAGCTACGACTGGAGCAAGGTGAGGGCAGCCAGGGGCACATCCCAGGGGATCAGTCAGCCACGCTCCAGAGGAGAATTCCCAATTCCTTCCGGAGGCCCCACTCCGGGATACCCACCCTGTTCTTCCTCTCCCAACACCCCCGCACGGGATCCAAGCTCTCCTCACATTCCCACGCTCCATCCCAAAGCTGGGAAAGACCCACAGGGTTTGTTATTTTTTGGGATGGTCTGGCTGTTTATTGGGAAATTCGGAGCTCCCGCTGTTTTCCTGGAGCTGGGAGATGCTCCCAGGGGTGGAGCAATCCCCGGATGCTCCTTCCGGATGCTTTTTAAATGGATTTCTCCCTCTTCCCAGATCTGGGAAGGGCTGACCCAGCGCTTCCACCGGGTGATTGCCCTGGATTTCCTGGGATTTGGCTTCAGCGACAAGCCCGTGAGTAGCCCCGGGAGGGGGATTTTCCTGGATGCTTTCCAGCTCCAAATCCAGGCATTTTGGAGCCTGGTTTTCCCTCCCATTTCCACCTGGAAAAGGGATAAGACGTGGGATAAAAGGGATCAGTGGGAGGGATGGGGGAGGTTCATGGTGGGCCCTCACTTGGGTTTGATGATCCCAAACCATTCCTGAATCCCTTTGGAGCATGGACACCACTGGTGATCCAGGACATCCCGATGATCCAGGATCACAAACTGTTGGAATCAGTTGATATTCCTCCATTTGGGGCTTTCTCCTGGAATTTGTGGGGTTTGATGTGATCCCAAAGCATTCCATGATCCCTTTGGAGCATGGACAGTGAGGACACCACCAGTGATCCAGGACATCCCATAGCTCAATCCAGGGTCACCAAATCCTGGTCTCCATCCCATTTGGGGGTTTCTCCCAGGATTTGTGGGCTCAGGCTCTCACCGGGGCCCCTCTCCCGCTTTTCCAGAGGCCCCACCGCTATTCCATCTTCGAGCAGGCCAACGTCGTGGAAGGGCTCGCGCGGCACCTCGGCCTCCAGCGCCACCGGATCAACCTCCTGGCCCACGACTACGGGGACACGGTGGCCCAGGAGCTGCTCCACAGGTCATCCCAACCCCTGGCACCCCATGGACACCATTCCAACCCCTGGCACTCCTTGTTGTCCCCATG